TACTACTATACTACCTATACTGCTACTACTGCTATACCGCTATACTGCTCCTTATATACTGCTGCACCGCAACACTGCTACTATTGCTGCATATACTATATACTATACTACTGCTACACTACTGCTACTACTACTGCTACTACTACTATACTATACTATACTATACTATACTATACTATACTATACTATACTATATACTATACTATACTATATTATACTATACTACTATATACGACTATACTACTATATACTACTAACTATACTACTTATATACTATATTACTATACTATATAATTATACTATACTAGTACTATTATATACTAGTACTATAGTATACTACCATACTACTATGTACTATATACTACTGCTATACTACTATATTATACTACTACGACTACTACTGCTATATGTTACTATACTACTATATACTATACTATTGATGCATCTCCTGTGTGGGACGACAGCGAGCCGAGGGCCCTGCCATGTCGACACATGCATGCAATAGGAGCACTCCACATGCAACTCCATGCTCTATATCGAAGCCGTTTTGATCATCGTCCATATACAGTTGTATATATATAGCCTTTCGCAGGGCTATAGCAGCTCGCGGGGCTTGAGAGTTGAAGAGAGCCATGTCGGAGAACATGAAGCAGCTCATCAACGATGTGAAGCAGATCCATACCTTTCTGCAGACCATGGAGAATGTACAAGGTGTGGACAGCAATGTCATGGAGGAGAACCAGTTCCAAAGCTTTGCTACGAGGCTTAACACCGTGCAGTCGTGCACACACGAAGATGGACAGGAGCTCATCAATGTGATCTCTCAAGGCCCTTGGACGGATCCCCACAAGCGGCACTTCTACACGTGCATTGGGTTGGTTGTCACAAACAACCCGACATCCTCAACCAGGAGAAACTGCCAGGACATCACGTCCTTCTCGAAGTACTTGTCTGCCAAAGACATACAGACACTGGGCAGCGATGCCACGTTGATCACCAAGCTCGAGGCTCTGGCCCATCGCTGTGCTCGTGTGGGCATCTCTAACCCAAGCGAGATCAGTGTGCGACAGATAATGGCATCTGGTCTGGTTTTTGGCATCAAAGCTGCCACCGACAAAGACAAGTTCGCTGTCGTGCAGGAAATCAAGCGGCTCATCAAGATCCAGGTGAAGCGGCGACCAAAAGCAGCAATGTATCTGGTGAAGTATCCCACCGACCCCCGGAACTTGCCGGAGGTGCTCTTTGCGGCTGGATACGATGCGGAAGACCCACCAAATACAACTGCGCCTGATGACACCGAGATCGCCAATGCAGCTCGCACGATCTCATTGAGAAGGTCGTCCAGGAGCATCCGAGGCAGTGGCTTGTTCGGCGATGCGGGCAACACCCTTGCTACGGCCGCTGCTCCAGCTGGGAACATGAACCCTTGGGGAAACATGATGAGTGGTCAGTGTGGGCCCATGCAACTTATGGGAAGCATGTTGCAGATGATGCAGAACATGACTGCGAAGAACAATCCCGAGCTCGACATCACCTACTTCAACCCGGCGGCTGGAGCCGGGAACCGGCTTGGATCTTCGGCTGCGGCAGTCCAGCCGAATCCTGCTCAGGCGGCACTCCCGCCCCCTGGTGGAAAGGAGGCGGCAACCCAGCCGAATGCAAACGAGTTGGCGATCACACCGAATATCGTTGAGGACCCCATGCCTGATGCCGAAGAGGTCGCCAATCAGGTAAAGGACAACAAGCGGCAGAGGGCTGAGGAGGAGAGCGAGGAGAAACCCAATTCCAAGGCCAAAGCCAAGGCCAAAGCCAAGGCCAAAGCATCGGCCAAGGCCAAAGCCAAGGCAAAGGCCGTGGCAAAGGCCAAAACAAAGGCCGTGGCAAAAGCCAAGGCAAAGGCCGTGGCATGGAATGGTCGCCGACCCCCGGTTCCGCCTGAGGGAGCCCCCACGACGAAGTATAACGGCGGGAAGATTCATCGATCCGACACATTCTCGTTGTGGCGAGTCTTCATTCATGAGCAGGACAGGGTTGACAAGAAGATCAAGTTCGGCACGGACATGAAGGCCTCGTGGAAGAGGGCTTTGGATATGATCGACAGCGGCAAGTGAGCGATACTTTTGCAAATGTCGAGACACTTCTTAAGGTCCTGAGCTTTAGGGAGATCTATGGTTATATTATGTCCAAGGCTCATATATATATATATATATACATCTGTAGATAAGATGTATCGAGGGAAGGTGTTTGCTTATACATATTTGTTTCTCTATAGTATATATACTTAAGCATTTATGTCTCTTTGTTGTGTAGATGCATATATATGTATATAGAGCCGGGCACATAAAGATTGGACCTGTGTATATATGTATATATATATGCACTATATAGCATTTATATAGGGCTATATGGTTCAGATATATATGGCTATAGTTCTCAATAGCTCTTGACCTCCGACCGGGAACAGACTCCACAGTGGCAGTCGTTCCATCCATGGGCGCCAGACGAAAGGAGTTGTACATGACAGCTGCTTTTTTTCAGGCACTCTTTCGAGCGACCCGATGTTCCATGCATCCGAGGGGACAAGTGTTCGAGAAACATCGCATGTGTGTAGCCCTGCATGCAGAGTTAGAAGTGTTTTGCAGGGTGATTGTGTGTGAGTTTGCTGCATCACTGCACGGCGAGCCCGTGGCCCTGCCTTGTGCAATGCATGCATGGCGATGGCTTTGGCTGTGAGTATGTATATCATGCATGAAACATGACAACTCCACATTGCCGGTTATATATATATATATATATATATAAGCCCATGCAGTGGATCGCACACACAGCATGACCAACATATAGATTGATTTATATATATATATATATATATGTACCCACTGCAGGGCAGTTTGCTCGCAGGGTGCCTGCATGCAATGTCGTTGGAAAGGCTTGGTCGCAAATCGTACATTAGCCAGAGAGGCTTGGCTGATGTTCTCACCGACCTGAAGGAATCCAAGCAGCCTTTGACGGCCACCTCGCGACAGTCCATCAAGCGAGCCCGAGACAAGGTGATCACACAGACCACTCCATATGGACCCGTCTGGGAGACTTTGCGCTTGCCCCGTGTTCCTGATGGCAAAGAGTCTAACAATGGCATCGATGTGCCGGTGCTTTGTTTGCCTGCATTCCTTCATCATGCATGTGCAAAACTCACTGGCTTCTCCCAGTTCTTTCTGCGACGGTTGCAAGAGTGCCCGTGCCGGTCGCCCAACGAAGCTTGGCGGGCCGCAATCTATAATGATGAAGTTGCACCCGGCAATCAGCTGAAGGGAAACAACAGCAGGAAAATTCAGGTCTGGTATATGGCATGGCTTGAATACGGCCAAGACCATCTTTTCTACGAAGAGCTTTGGATGCCTTTGCTCATGATCCGGAGCAATCTGGTGAAACTTGTAGAAGGAGGGCTGTCAGCAGTGACAGCCAGGCTTGTGCAACATTCATTTCGTGGTGTGCACAATTTGGAGAGCGGCATCCTTCTTTCTTTTCCCGGACACGAGGCTTGGAGTGCATTTCATTATATCTATTCGATACTGTGATATTGTATTTTGCTTTGCAAGAGTTTCGATATTCAATGGTTCCTATATATAGCCGAGGACAGCCGAATGTTCTTCGGCAAGCCAACTGTTCTGCTAGCAGACGAAAGCGCCCTCAAGCACATGCTAGACACGAAAGGTGCATCGGGCACAGTCCCATGCACTTTTTGTGCCAATGTTGTCAGCAAGCGGACAGAAGGGGACTCCGACGATTTGCTGACGATCTGCAGCACAGACGTGGCCCGCTTCAGAATGCGGAGTGACGAGGCTTTGTTCAAGGCTGCAGAACACCTCGTGGACCAAAGCACGAAGCTATCGAATGCGAAGCTGGCCGAACTTGAACAAGCCATGGGCTTGAACACCAATCAGTTTGGCCTTCTCGCAACCCGATCCCTGGGAGCATCCAGTTGCATGTTCGACTGGATGCACATCTATTTAGTGCATGGAGTAGCTCATGCAGAAGTAAATTGCATCCTGGAGCGAATGGTGGCTGTTAAGATTCCGAGCACACAGCTGCACGACTTCTGTGATGGCCTGCAATTTCCCAAAGCTGATGCCTGGAAGAAAAAGGAGGTCATGAGCATGTTCACTTCCAAGAAGATCAGTCCAGGCGACTTCAAGGCTGCAGCCAGCACGTGCTTGTGTTTCTATCCCTTGCTGCGATTGTTCTTCATGTCCACACCAGAAATCGTGGCAAGGATGACAGAGGAGGAGGCCAGAAGTTACTCGCATCTGTGTGCTGTGCTGGACTATCTCGCCCAAGCAAACAGGGGCGAGACACGGTTGCAGGCAGGGAAGCTGCAAACCTTGATCCAAACGCATTGCGAGCACTTCGTCAGAACATACGGGGAAGGGCCGATCACCCCCAAGTTTCACATGACGATGCATTTACCCTTCATGCTGAAGAAATTCGACCAGTTGGTGGCATGCTTCACTCACGAGCGGAAGCATAAACATATCAAAAGAATCGGCGACCAGCTGCATTCCTCCCAGCTGGCCTTCGAGGCCAGTGTGGCTCACGACATCTGGTTCGACCATTTCCAGGACTATGCCGACTTGAGCTTGGACAATGGCCCTGCACTGGTTGGCAGGGACAAAGCTGCAGAGCCAATCCTAAAGCATGAGCTGCTCAAGGTATTCGGCATCGCCGATGCAGATGTGCACCCGAGCCAAAAGTGCTGCATCAAGCCTGGCACAACCATTGCACGAGGAGATGTGGTGGTGATGCATGGTGATGTCGTGGGGGAGCTGTGGCTCAACTTCCGACTGCATGGCGAGCACTGGCGCATAGTCAGTATCTACGAAGCGATGGGCCGCAATGTCTTTGCTGTCGCGGAAAACCCGCTTTTTGTGAAGGTTTCCAGTGTTCGCTCGGCATGCATCTTCCGCAGGGAGGGGCATGACAAGGTCAGGATCGTGCCGTGAATGGCCATGGAGCTGCTAAAAAAGATTGCAGCTTCGCCTGCATGCATGAACTTTCGTGTGAGTTTGCTGCATGCACTGCACGGCGAGCCCGTGGCCCTGCCTTGTGCAAGTGCTTACATTTTGCAGTTATGATACACTTATAAGTGAGCTAAGTACACTTAGCTATTTATGCTAACTTAGATACATAAGTACACTTATCACGTTTATATATCTTGCTTATTTGCACTTGTCTATTTCAGAAAAACATGTCTATGTACTTAATAACCACCATACCTACATAATAACCCCAGCGGGCCGCCAAGTACTATTTCGGGTACTATATTAGGGTTCCCTATTATTTTCGGAAACTCCCACAGGAAGCCCAGGAACACCATGTCAAACTCCAGGCCCTTGGCCTCGGCAGGTGTCAAGAAGAGGCCCTGGATCTTCCGCCTCCGCAGCTCCATCCGCACCCGATCGCTTCGCACGATCATGGCAATGCACGTGGGATCCACCACAGGCAGCTGCGAAGCTCCGCTGCCTTAGGCTTGGGACTAAACTTCCCAAACCCCAGCTCGGATGTTGGAAACTCAGGATCAAATATGTCGCCCACTGCACGGCAGCGAAAGCCATCAAAACCCACTTCAGAAAGAAAGAAATTGTAACGAAGAGGCCACGGCTAAGATGCAGGCTTAGCTACCGAGCAAGTACTGGGAGAGGCAGCCCCTGCCGGCCACTCGAACGAACATGGGCTTCGCCCCCGGTGTGGTGGTCTCTTCTTGTATGCGGTCCGCAGCTCGTGGGAACCTCTCGAGGAGAAGCTGGCTGATGGAGCTGGCCGCTGCTGCGATGCCCGCTTTGCAGCGGTAGTTGAAGCGCAGGCTCATCACCAGAAATCGAGTTTGCAGCTTCTGGAGACCTTCTTCGGCCTCCTTCATCTTCTGTGTGGCTTCCGCCAAATGCCGAGATGCATCACCCAAGTCGTCCCGCATGCTGGGCCTAAAGGGGCCGCCCCGCGACGGGACACCTCGTTCCATCAAGGCATTTCCAATCAGCTTCCTGGCGCGTCGCTTGCGATCCACCTCTTTCTGCATCCCTGCTTGCGCGGTAGCTCGCTGCAGGTCTTTCTCCTCAACTGCGTCACAAGGGTTTTTGTTTTAGGCATGGCCATGCAAAACCCAATCTCGCAGCTTGAGGTTTCGAGATAGTTCAGGGGGTAGGAAACAGGAAACTGTTTCTCAGTTGTGCCAGGAGTCGCAGCAGCTCAGCCAGCTGTATGCTCGTGCACCTTCGGGCGTGTGATGCAATGCCCCCAGTCGATGCTCCTGGAAAGCCTTGACCAACTGCTGGAAGTTGAAAGCGCTTCCAGCATTGATGGTCTGGCAAGTATCGCCCGTAATCGTGACAGCATTGGGATTCTTGCAGAGGAGCAGCAAAGAGGAAATCTCAGCAGGCGAGAAATCTTGCACCTGCCAGCTTGCGCAAATTGACTTCTCACAAGGTTTCGTCACTAGCAAAGACTATATGCATTGCAAAGGAGTCAGGAAGCGTGACACCCATTGCTATCGCGCTGATCGTGGACCCAGTCACCAGCATCATCTTTGTAAGCACAACCCGTACTTGTGATCACCTACACGACCACCGTCACTGCATGTCATCGTGGTCTGCATCATGGTTTTAATTCTGGTAGCCAAGCCTATCGTCATCAAAATCACCACCAACAACACCATCACAACAGCAACCAGCATCATCAAAAACAACAACACCATCATCCGCATCATCATCACCACTAACACTGTTAAGACTACAACCATAAGCACAACCTCCTTCACGCTCATGAACACACTACTAGCACAATCAGCATCAGAACGACTATCGCCGTCACCGTCATCAATGGCATCATCATGGTGATGATGATGATGATGATGGTGATAACCACGACAACACTAATGTGGTCTTCCTCTTGTCAATCTTGTGCACCATGCCTGTCAACGCCGGCATCTGCATTGACGACAACATCAGCATGGCCCTCACAGGCCGCACAACGAGCATCAGCCCAAGCGACGCATCATCACCCCCTCCATTGTAATCGACTGGATACCCATAGAACAATTACAGTACTAACAATATAGATGAAATCTATGTAGTAACGATAGGGTTGGTAACAACTTCGAGTCAGACAACAGTTAGAGAGGAATCGCAGGGACACAGCAAGCAGAACATTGAATGTAGGCCGCAGACATCATCATGATCACCATCATCATCAATACTACTATCCCCAACCGCAGCACCATCATCGTCGTCAACTGCGACAATCGTCGTCATCATGACCAGTGCAAGTATACATATGAACATCGTGACACTGAACAGAGTAGCAGAGTAGCAGTGGCAGAAGCAGGAGCATCAGCTGCAGCTGTGCTGCTGCAGCAGCAGCCGCTACCGCTATCATGATGATCGACATCGCGTTCTACCAGCACAAACCATCACAATCCACAAGAAGAAACCGTACACACACCTCCATGGACCTGCCTCGTCCACGAAGAGTGCATCGAAAGACACCTCCTGCAGCTCTTGACAGCTGGCGATCAGCGCAGCCACGTCAGTGTCATCCAGTTGCTGCCGGTGCTCCTTCAGCTTGCAATACCTGAGAGAGAAGTCCGATAAAATCTAGGTTAGCTCGACAGCATAGAGTGACGGCCTCATGCGTGTCGCAGGGTAGACTTGCTATTGACAAGCTCGGAGCAGCTGGGATACTGCTTGAAGCATCGATATATCTGCATCCGATCCGATCGATCCAAGTAAACTCCCATCGCGCTGGACTCTTCCTGCAACTTACACTGCTGAGCCTAACTCGCCGCAACACCCCATATTCGTCGCAGCAGTGTCCTGTAGGAACTCGTCCCTCTGCAGGCACCAGACTCCGACGTCGCCCAGGCCAAGGGCCATGCCCGGCCCGAACGGTCGCAGCGTGGTGTTGAATTCGGCCCACAGGATCTGGGCTGGTACTTCACATTCGCCTTTGATGACGGGGACATACTCGTCATGGAAGACCTCGTATGAGACATCTGCTTCCTGAACATGGGGGACAGCCAGCTGCACCAGCTGCTTCCAGGTCCAGCAATAAATCCCCGAGGTAGGCGGCCATGTCGGCTCGGCAAGATCACATCCTTTTTCGCGCAGCTGGCGTGACACCTCTTCCACCAGCAGCGTGGACTTCGTGACAAAGATACTTGCCGGAAAGCTTCCGGCATCGCGCTGGTCCACAAAGGACTGATGCAACCTGTTCACCAAAACCAGGGTCTTCCCCGTTCCAGATCTGCCTTGAACCAAGACGCTGTGTGGACAGCCAGCCTCAGCACAACAGAAAGTCTCAACCAGCTCTGTTCCAGTCTTCTCCCCGGAGACTCCAAAATCCCTTAATTAAAGAATATGCCTTAAATCATCCAAGGGATCCTACCATAATTTATGGAATATTCCTTAATTAAGGGGTATTGGAGTCTCTGGGTCCTCCAAATCTCCAACATGAAACCTGCACAACTGAGCCCTGCGCCACGAGCGCTTGCTCCTGCGACCTCAGCAAGCGACGGGCGAAGCCTAGGGGGGCCTCTCCTCGCCTAGTTCGGGCTGTTTGGCTGAAGTTTAGGGGCTTGAAACTCTAGCATCAAGGATACCGAACCCTGAACCCCCAAACCCCCAAACCCCTGAACCCTAAACCCTAAACTTAGGTACCCCAGGGTTTTGAGTTTCAGGGCCAGGGTCTCGGAAGCCCCGGGCTCAGGGAGCTACGATGGACTTGTTTATAACCCCAGCTACACCAAGTCCCATGATCCTTAAAGTAGAGGTCTTAGGAGAAGAGGGAAAGGCCCTTTAAGTAGAGGTCTTAGGAGAAGAGGGAGAGGTGAGGAATCTTCCTGGCCGGGGAGCAGTTGGATCAGCTTGTGGCTCGAGGCCTTCGTGGTCTCTTCGCAAGAGCTCCCAGTCTTGCACTGCATCTGCACGGAGCGCCCCAGCCGCTGGAGCAAAGCCGAAGCTTCGGTGAAAATCTGCTGCGCGTTCCTTGGCGGAAGTGCAACCGAATCCCTCTGTCGTGGCGCTTGCACGGTGCTAGTGCAATAGGCACTTCTTACATCGGATCGGGATCTCGGTACAGTACCGCGCGCCATTGTTGCCGAGACACCTACCCCGTGGAATACTGTAGAGCGCATGCAGCTCGTCGTCGATTACCCGCAGCTTCTGCCGCAAATCAGCTTCGCCACCACGGTCTCTCTGTTTGACCTGCGGTTCGGTTTTGGGTTTTGGGTGGGCTTGGCAGGCACACAGCATTGCAGGTGAAGATGGGTCGGCAGATGGCATGATGCAAGCCCCTGCGGCAGCTTTGCAGACAAGCAGCCTCGGCGAGATGTATGAGTTGCTCTAAGACCGCTTGAAGCTGCGAGGACTCGTTCTTGGCCGGCCACCAGGTGAAGTCCTCGTGTTGAAAGCCGCTTTAAAGCACCACTGCCAGTCTTGCCACCCCGCCCACGACCCTACAACCCTAAACCCTAAACCCTAAACCCTAATCCCTAAACCCTAAACCCTAATCCCTAAACCCTAAACCCTAATCCCTGAACCCTACACCTCAGCCGAAGCCCTTCTGCAGCAGAGTAGCGAAAGACGGAGGCTTGAAGAAGGCCTCAAAGCTCTGCAGGTCGAGCTCATTGCAGAGGTGCGCATGACGAGGCTCTAGATCGGCCGCCGCCATGTTTCCACCTGCGGCAGCTTCAGGCTAGCGCAGTGCTCTTGGTAGTAGTACATAATATATCATATCTTACAACACATTAAAAAGTTGTACCATAGCATGATATATATATATATATATAATCTTAGTTTCAATGCCTTTGAAGCATCATCGCATCACAGGCCGATGCCTTGCAAAGGAGGTCGAGGGCTGCGCTAACAGGTAGCCGAGCAAAGCGGCTGCACGCGGTGACCACGTTTTGGAGTTTAGGGTTCTAGCGTTTAGGGGTTGAAGGGTTTAAGGG